TAAACCAGGACTAAACCAGCACTGACAGTTGGGTAAAACACTTTATTTCAAACACAGGATTTTGATCTGAATAAATAATTTCTTTGGTTTGTTTGAACATTGTCGCCGTGGAAACGTCTTTGTTCGTCTGGACTCGGAAAATCAAAATGGCGCCGTCACCGTGGCAACGCCCGGTCGAACCTGCGAACAGACAGGAAGTCAGTCTCCCTGTGTGACAGGTCCCTCCCCGTGTGTGTCAGGTCCCTCCCCGTGTGTGTCAGGTCCCTCCCCGTGTGTGTCAGGTCCTCCCGTGTGTGGTGTCAGGTCCTCCCCGTGTGTCAGTCCCTCCCCAAGTGTGTCAGGTCCCTCCCCGTGTGTGTCAGGTCCCTCCCCAAGTGTGTCAGGTCCCTCCCCGTGTGTGTCAGGTCCCTCCCCAAGTGTGTCAGGTCCCTCCCCGTGTGTGTCAGGTCCCTCCCCGTGTGTGTCAGGTTCCCTCCCCAAGTGTGTCAGGTCCCTCCCCGTTGTGTGTCAGGTCCCTCCCCGTGTGTGTCACAGGTCCCTCCCCAAGTGTGTCAGGTCCCTCCCCGTGTGTGTCAGGTCCTCCCCGTGTGTGTCAGGTCCCTCCCCGTGTGTGACAGGTCCCTCCCCGTGTGTGTCAGGTCCCTCCCCGTGTGGTCAGTCCCTCCCCAGTGTGTCAGGTCCCTCCCCGTTGTGTTGTCAGGTCCCTCCCCGTGTGTGTCAGGTCCCTCCCCGGTGTGTGTCAGGTCCCCTCCCCGTGTGTGTCAGGTCCCTCCCGGGTGTGTGTCAGGTCCCTCCCGTGTGTCAGGTCCCTCCCCGTGTGTGTCAGGTCCCTCCCCGTGTGTGTGTCAGGTCCCTCCCCGTGTGTGTCAGGTGCCCTCCCCGTGTGTGTCAGGTGTGTCAGGTCCTCCCCGTGCGTGTGTGTCAGGTCCCTCCCCGTGTGTGTCAGGTCCCTCCCCGTGTGTGGTCCCTCCCGTGTGTCAGGTCCCTCCCGTGTGTGTCAGGTCCCTCCCGGGTGTGTCAGGTCCCTCCCGTGTGTGTCAGGTCCCTCCCGTGGTGTCAGGTCCCTCCGGTGTCAGGTCCCGTGTCAGGTCCCTCCCCGTGTGTGTGTCAGGTCCCTCCCGTGTGTGTCCCCTCCGTGTGTGTCAGGTCCCTCCCCGTGTGTGTCAGGTCCCCTCCCGTGTGTGTCAGGTCCCTCCCGGTCGGTGTGTGTCAGGTCCCTCCCGGGTGTGTGTCAGGTCCCTCCCGGGTGTGTGTCAGGTCCCTCCCGGGTGTGGTGTGTGTCAGGTCCCTCCGGTCCCTCCTGTGTGTCAGGTCCCTCCCGGGTGTGTGTCAGGTCCCTCACTCTCGGACGCAGGCGGGGATCTGGATCTGCTCCGTGGGCACGAGCTCAGTCAGCTGCTGGAGGCTGTCGACGAAGCGAAGTTTCCGACTGAACTTTGAACTGGAACAAAACACACGGGTCAGAGGTCAGAGGTCAGGGGTCAGGGGTCATGTATGAGACAGCAGGAAATAAGATCGGGTCTGTGCAGAGCTTTATTTTGAAGGAGCAGTGTTTCTGTGTGTTTTATTTTGAAGGAGCAGTGTTTTTGTGTGTTTTATTTTGAAGGAGCAGTGTTTTTGTGTGTTTTATTTTGAAGGAGCAGTTGTTTTGTGTGTGTTTTATTTTGAAGGAGCAGTGTTTTTGTGTGTTTTATTTTGAAGGAGCATTGTTTTGTGTGTTTTATTTTGAAGGAGACCTGATGAACGGTTTGACGATGGTGATGAGAGTTTTGATGAACCAGGTCGGATGAACGACGAGAAAACCCTTCAAGTTCTTCCTCAACCTGAAAGAAAAAGAAAAAGAGAAAAGAAAAAAGAGAAAAGAGAAAAGAGAAAAGAGAAAAGAGAAAAGAGAGAGTTTAGTTTAGTTCTAAAACAGTTTGAGGTTTGATCTCAAACAAGTTGAGACTAAAACTCAGTTTAAAGTGGGACTATGTATGTATGTAAACCAGGACTAAACCAGGACTAAACCAGGACTTTTTCTGTAGTCCATCTGGTGTGTTTTTTGGGGTCTCTCTGGTGTTTTTTGGGTCTCTCTGGTGTTTTTTGGGGTCTCTCTGGTGTTTTTTTGGGGTCTCTCTGGTGTTTTTTTTGGGGTCTCTCTGGTGTTTTTTGGGGTCTCTGTGGTGTTTTTGGGGTCTCTCTGGTGTTTTTTGGGGTCTCTCTGGTGTTTTTTGGGGTCTCTCTGGTGTTTTTTGGGGTCTCTCTGTGGTGTTTTTTGGGTCTCTCTGGTGTTTTTTGGGTCTCTGTGGTGTTTTTTGGGTCTCTGTGGTGTTTTTTGGGTCTCTGTGGTGTTTTTTGGGTCTCTCTGGTGTTTTTTGGGGTCTCTCTGTGGTGTTTTTTGGGGTCTCTCTGTTTTTTTGGGTCTCTCTGGTGTTTTTTTGGGGTCTCTCTGTGGTGTTTTTGGGGTCTCTCGTTTTTTGGGTCTCTCTCTCTTTCTGGGTGTTTTTTGGGTCTCTCTGTCTCTTGTGTTTTTTGGTCTCTGTGGTGTTTTTTGGGTCTCTGGTGTGTTTTTTGGGTCTCTCTGGTGGTTCTCTCTGGGTCTCTCTGGTGTTTTTTGGGGTCTCTCTGTCTCTCTCGGTGTTTTTTGGGGTCTCTCTGTGGTGTTTTGGGTTCTCTCTTGGTTTTTTTGGGTCTCTCTGTGTGTTTTTTTGGGTCTCTCTCTGTGGTGTTTTTTTGGGTCTCTCTGGTGGTCTCTGGGTTTTTTGGGGTCTCTCTGGTGTTTTTTGGGGTGTTTTTTGGCTCTCTGGTGTTTTTTTGGGTCTCTCTGGTTTTTTGTTTTTTGGGGTCTCTTGGTGTTTTTTTTTCGGGCTCTCTCTGGTGTTTTTTGGGGTCTCTCTGTGGTGTTTTTTTGGGTCTCTCTGGGTGTTTGGTCTCTCTGGTGTTTTTTGGGTCTCTCTGGGGTTTTTTGGGGTCTCTCTGGTGTTTTTTGGGTCTCTCTGGTTTTTTTTGGGTCTCTCTGGTGTTTTTTGGGGTCTCTCTGGTGTTTTTTTGGGTCTCTCTGGTGTTTTTTGGGGTCTCTTCTGGTGTTTTTTTGGGTCTCTGTGGTGTTTTTTGGGTCTCTGTGGTGTTTTTTGGGTCTCTGTGGTTTTTTTGGGGTCTCTCTGGTGTTTTTTTGGGTCTCTCTGGTGTTTTTTGGTCTCTCTGGTGTTTTTGGGTCTCTCTGGTGGTGTTTTTTGGGGTCTCTGTGGTGTTTTTTTGGGGTCTCTGTGTGGTGTTTTTTTTTGGGGTCTCTCTGGTGTTTTTTTTTGGGTCTCTCTGGTGTTTTTTGGGGTCTCTCTGGTGTTTTTGGGGTCTCTGTGGTGTTTTTTGGGGTCTCTCTGTGGTGTTTTTTGGGTCTCTCTGGTGTTTTTGGGGTCTCTCTGTGGTGTTTTTGGGTCTCTGTGGTGTTTTTGGGGTCTCTCTGGTGTTTTTTTGGGTCTCTGTGGTGTTTTTTGGGTCTCTGTGGTGTTTTTTGGGGTCTGGTCTCTGGTGTTTTTTGGGGTCTCCTCTTGGTGTTTTTTTGGTGTCTCTCTGGTGTTTTTTGGGTCTCTGTGTTTTTTTTGGTGTTTTTTGGGGTCTCTCTGGTGTTTTTTGGGGTCTCTCTGGTGTTTTTTGGGGTCTCTCTGTGTGTTTTTCTCACCGTCGGTCGATGGTGGTGTAACAGTCTCGGAGCCAGCTCAGTGCCGGGACTTGGTTCTTCTGAGCTCCAGCGCAAAGATAAATGACGACGTAATCCTCCGAGACCATCAGCTCCAGAGTCCCCATCACGTACCTGCAAGTACAAATACTACTACTACTACTACTACAGTACTACTGCCCATCATGTATACAAAATACTTTTGTGTACTTTGTGTACATAATACTAACCCAGGACTAAACCAGGTCTGACCCGGTCTGCACTGACCTGAACAGGTGGTCCATCACCTGCTCGTACGAGTCGATGGAGTTTTCAGGTAAAAAACAGGAAGAGAAGACGATGATGTCATTCTCGTCGCCGTAGTAACCTGAAAAACACAGAAACACATTTGAACTTTAGAAATGTTTCTCATTATAATGAAACTAAACCAGGACTAGACCCGGTGTGGACCCGGTGTGGACCCGGTGTGGACCCGGGGTGGACCCGGTCTGACCTCCGTGGGAGATGACCCTGACGTAGTCCTGGATCAGGCTCATGTTGACCAGGGTCGTGAGTCCGTTGGAGGTGAACGAGCGCCACCTTCTGCCCACATTGTCCACCATGTCCTCAGGCTCCAGCCCCAGAGAGCGACGCCGCGAGGGGGAGTGGCCACGCCGCGAGGGGGAGGGGCCACGTACCGAGGAGGGGCCGGACGACGCCACGCCCAGACGCCGCATGTCCTCTGAAAACACAAACGACACACGGCCCATAATCCTCTGACCTCTGACCTCTGACCTCATGTCGTTTCCTCCTCACACACAGACCTGGACTAACAGATAATACTCCCTACAACTGTACTACTCACCCCTTTGTAACAGATAATACTCCCTACAACTGTACTACTCACCCCTTTGTAACAGATAATACTCCCTACAACTGTACAACTCTGTCTGAATCTTGAGTCTGGTTCTAATTCTAAAGTCTGAGTCTGAGTCTGGACCCGGGTCAGGACTAACTGGTGGATCATGGAGTCTTACCCTCCAGGTCCAGGTCCAGGTCGAAGTCTGAGGGGAAGTGCAGAGACTCAGAGTCCGAGGGCGTCTCCAGGGCCTCGAGGTCCAGATCCACCTCGTCCACCGACGGAGACAAGACCGCGGACAAGTCCTCAGAGACCACGGACCCGCCACCTGCAAGAGACCAGGGTCAGACCGGGACTAAATCAGGACTGGACCAGGACCGAATCAGGACCGGACCAGGACCAGACCAGGACTTAACCAAGACTAGAACAGGACTAAAGGAGGACTGACCGAGGGACAGGCTGAGGGTCGGAGCGCTCAGGACTTTCTTCCTGCTCTGATTGGTC